CACCTTGATCCCTTACTACCCCAGACTACCTAAACCCTAAACTCGTATAAATTCAAGACAATCACATCAATGACTTCATTGGAGTGACCTTGAGTCGCGAGGTCTTTGGATTTTTCCTCTTTTTTCCCGTCAACAATGTAGGATCAGAACTAGCTTCAACAGGAACGGGAACTTCATCGACATCTTGGTCTCCGGAAACTTCAAAGGGATTGGATGGCCTACTCTCGAACACGAGCCGGCCCCCTTTTCGAACCATCATTGGTCCCATAGGCGTCGCTATTGGGTCCTCTGAACTTGGCTCTTCCATGTCTCTGCAGCTTATAGAAAAATAACCAGCTTTTTCTGAACCAGTTGGTACGGTGAGGAAAGAGGTGGCTGGGACTAAACCAACAATGCCAAATATTTGTTGTTCGCGTCAGCCCTTGAACCCCTCCAGCACAGACGCTAAACACTCGCCACTCTTCTTTAACACCTATCACATCCTTTCACACCAATGTCGATCAATTGGGTAGAACTGAACCAAGCTGATGGACCTTTGCCAATCGGCCAGGAGAGGTTTATGCCACCGTGGCTCGCGGGCGCACGCTTCAAAATCTCCATTCCTGGACCCGTTGAAGTCGATTCTGTATCCAATGCCAACAACTTTATCGACCTGAACGCCACTGGAACAGTGTTCTTGAGCGATATGCGGGTACGTCGATTCACATAAGCCGTTTCGCAAGATCACTCACTCCGATGACGCGCGCGCCGCCGCCGGCCGAATTACCCGGGCACATTTTGTAAAATATCCAGCTCGTATTCGTCTCTAATGACCCCCGCAAGGAGCCGACACCGACCAGCTTTTCGTCGTTCTCGGTGCACTACTCGGACATCCTGGGGAACAAATACGAGCAGCCATGGTTTGGTGGAAACTATGTCGAATTAATTGTCAAACCGATACCGGAGGGAGGACTCCTCCGCCGTCCAGGCTCGGTGGCAAAAGTGCAGATTCGAACAGATGGAGCAGGTCTTTATCAGTTTAGCACTACGCTCAATGCCAGGATGCAGGCTGCTTATCTCAAGAAACAAGAAGTGGATGCTCTACGTGAGTGCGCTCTGTGAGAATGCAAGCTGTGCCTAATATCTGATGAATGTATTGTATAGCTGTGTACTCGCCACCACCAAATGCATCCAACACTACGTCGGCTCAGACTCGTACCCAAGCTCAGAATGCACCCGCTGAACAACCACCAGCCTACACTATTTAGGCTGGGCTTCCCTGCTTTACGATAACTGGACTTCACTGGCCATCTCCCAGCTTATGACGCTGATATATTTGGTGGTTAAACTTGATATTTTACGGCTTTGAACAGTATTTGTACATTGTATTTGCACGACTGATTTATGGAATTATATAGCTTTATAGAAAGGGTCCATGGATTACTCATCATCGTCTTCGTCAAACCAGCGTTCTTCATCTTCTCTGGATTGAACGTCCCATTTATCATCCCAGTCGACAGAGTCGTAATCAAAGTGCTAAGGCACTGTCAGTTGGAGATCACCCGGTGCATACTTACTCACCTCTAGTCTTCCATCTATAAATCGCTCTTTTAACAGTCTTTCAAAGAGGCTCTTGATTCGTTCGATATCCAGATTGCCATCCACTGAACCTTCCGACTCGAGTTCCTCCTCCTCTTCCTCATCGTCATCCTCATACTTTTCTGCCTCACGTGCCAATCTTTCATCCTGTTCCATTCTCCTCAGCCTCTCACTCCTCTTCTTCCTCTCCTCCTCTCCAACCCTCTCCTCTTCATAATCACCAAGTAGTCTTCCCAACCTAGACCTCTCCCCAACGACTTCTTTCCCGTTCAAGAATCCCTTTTCTGCCCATTCTTGTTCTTCCTTCTTCCCGTCCTGCCCCTTCTCCCTCCAATTCTCTTTGAGCACCGACTTGGGAGCGACTTCATCCCATACGTTCGTCCATGTATTCCTCGCATTGGGAAAGTAAAACTCTTTCGGTGCAGAAGAGTGATATTGTAATCTCCGATTCCTGATATTTGTAATCTTGGTGCGTTGAAGTGGAGTCAGGAGAGGGGAAAAGTAAGAGAGTAGTGAAGGAGGGAGGATGGAGATGTATTTCCGGAGAAAGTCAACTGGGTCGGTGGAGGGTTTGAGGGTCTGAGGTTCAAGAGAGAGGTATCGAAGGATGAGTCTGTCCATCTCCTCCGCGCGTTGCTCATTTGGTAATTCAGAAGTCATTGATGTGATTGTCTTGAATTTATACGAGTTTAGGGTTTAGGTAGTCTGGGGTAGTAAGGGATCAAGGTG